CACACACACACACACACACACACACACACACACACACACACACACAGACACACACCTGGTTCTGGACAGGACTAACCATCCCGTGCGCCGTCCAGTTGACTCGTGGAGGGGGGGGCTGGTGTGATGGAGGCGGGGATGTTATGTTGACATCGGGAAAATCTTCCTCCAGTAAACCATTCAATTGATTAACCTCATCTGCAGTCTAAACACACACACATACACACACAACTCAATTCATCTGACCTTTGACCTGCACTTAAGACGTAGCCTATGAAAAAATGTAATCAAGATACAGTAGATGTACTTAAGATGTAAATGGTTTACATCTAGTTAGTAGTCTTTAATGAAAACATTTCTTGATTTCATTATAATTGGGTTATATTTTGAAAAACATATCATGGAGGCCCCTGACTCAGTTGTTTGTTTTTTCTCCCCTCTGCTCATATTTTAATATTCATTTTTCTGTATAATGAGGGTGTTTTAGGTCTGTGTTTTATTGGTTGTATTCTCCCTTCTTCACTCACACTTTCCCACAGCTTTACACGCCCAAATTCAAGAGACTTTTTCAAATCTGAGGTGTGAATGACATGATATCACACATCTGCTAATGGGTAAAAAAAAAGTTTGCTCTTTTAATTAAATGTATTGTTCTTAATACACTGGAAGGTATTTTTCTCCTTTTATTAAGCTAACATAAATGTATTTTATTTGTTTATTTATAATTTGTTTTATTCATTTAAAATTGTTTGTAATTGCTTGTACTTTGAAATAATTAATTTTAAATAATTTTATTTTAAATTTATTTCATTTTTAATCTTTATTTTATAATTTATTTTGAGTTTTATTTTAATTGTTTTTATTTGAAGATTATTTTAAATTTGTTATGATTTAATTCATTTTAGTAAATGTTTTATTTTTGTTTTTATTTACGAAGCTTTTATTTTAATTGAAAATAAATGTTATTTAATTGTTGAAATGTTATTTAATTACTTAATAAATTTTTTTTTTTTTTTTATTAAAATGTTTTAATTAATAAATTTTCGCTAGATTGTTTTTATTGTCATTTAAATTTTTTATAATTAATATGAGTACGTGTTTTATTTGGTTGTTTAGAGTTCAAAAATGATCGTAATTTGACATTTTCATGATTTAATTACTTTTGGTAAGTATTTTTATGTAGATTGTATTTATTTTAAAATTACTTATTTTAACTTTTGGATTTTAATAATTACATTTTTAACTGGATTTAATTGGAGTTTTATGAGCAATATAGTTTTCATCTAAAATTATTACTTCTGCCAATGTGAGATTAGTCTCTTTCAGTCTTTATTTCAAATATTTTCAGTCTTTATTTCAAACCAGCAAATATACCACAGATTTAAAAAGCACATATTTCACGTTGGCATATACGAGTCTTACAAGTGTTTCTATGGTAACTGGAGCTTCTAAGAGCACTGCAGTGACATGACTGGTTCATTTATTTAGAATGGGGGACTTCCTTTGGCCATATTCAGTGTTTCCCCATGAAGCATCTTGCTATATCTCTATTTATACTGGCAGAGTTCTGAGGAATGACTGTGTGTGTTAAAGTACCATGTCGCTGAGCTGGTTCAGTCCCAGTGTGTATGAGTGCAGACCGACGGCCGTCTCCTCATTATGTTTCACAATATCCAGAAGATTCTGCTCCCAAACGCCTCTCCTGTGACGCTCTTCTCTCTAGAACACAACACACACTCACATGCTCACGAACTGATGCATATGCACACTAAACCACACAACACTGTCTCAGTCTGGCTTCATGCAACTTCTAACCACTTACTGGTTGCTGGAAAGTGTTTTTGTGGAAGAACTAGACACTGGATTTAACAGTTTTCCACAAGACAATTGTTTCTTACATTTAAGTGCTTATTTTATTGCACTTTATCTATTTGCATCTGTAGATTTCAGTTCCATTCCACATCTTTAAAAGTTTGTTTCTCCACTTCAGCAGCGCTTACATGCTCCAAACTTTACAGTTTTATTCCTCTCTATATTCTTAAGGTTTTTACTGAGGGGTTTGTTTATATTGCTTGATTTTATTATTGCACTTTATCGATTTGCATCTATATTTCAATTACAACGTTTATCTTTAAAGGGTTTTTTTCTCCACTTCAGCAGCACTTATAAACACCAAAACTTAAGAGTTTTATTCCTCTCTATATTCTGAAGGTTTTTAGTGAGGGGTTTGTTTATATTTCATTTGCTTGATTTTATTATTACACTTTATCTATTTACGTCTTTAGATTTAAATTTCAATTCATCTTTAAAAGCGATTTCTCAAAATGAGTTTTTTTCTCCACTTCTGCAGCACTTACAAACACCAAACTTTACAGTTGTATTACTCTCTATATTCTGAAGGTTTTTACTGAGGGGTTTGTTCAAATATCATTTGCCTGGTTTTATAATTATACTTTATCTATTTGCATCTATTTTGCATCTATTTGCACAAAATGATTTTTTTCTCCACTTCAGCAGCACTTACAAAGACCGAAACTTAGAGTTTTATTCCTCTCTATATTCTGAAGGTTTTTACTGAGGGGTTTGTTTATATTTCATTCACACTGATTTAAACAACATTCTATTCCTAAAAACATGGTGAAAATGTGTTTGTTTTCTGTCTTTTTTCAGTATTTTCTGATTTATGGAGTGATAAAAAGAGAAATCCTAAATCCCTTCTAGAAATATATTTAACTCTAATATGACAACAAAACCAAACAAGAATTTTGAAACAATGCTCAGACTTCTATTCTGTAAATGTATGAAATTAGTGTGTATTTTAGTAGATAATGCCTTATTTGCATATTAAATAGTAACTGTTTAGAAAACTTGTAATACACAACATTTGTCTTAATGTCCTGTAATTAGTTACCTGTTAGTTTGCATATTTACTTATTATTTACTTTAATTCACCTGTAGTGTTAAGTCTTAATTGGAAGTTCTTGACTTCCTGTTTGACTTCCTGTTTGTTGACAATAAGCAGAATTACATTTTCTACTTTGTAGTCACTAATACCTGAAATAATCATCATTTGTTGCTTTTGGACAGAGAAATTCTGAAGTCTTCACACATTTCCCCTCATTTCTTTTATTGTCTTATTGCTGAACTCCAGGCAAGTCATTTAGGTGTTTATTTCTAAATGCTTTTCATGCACTTTAAAAACAGATACTGCTTTACATAAGGATTTAGAAATAATCATAAAATAGTCATTAAAGTCTGTGTTAGTGCACAACACACAACAGCTGGCTTTACATGACGGTTACAGTTCTCAGAACAGATTAGACCGGACCAATCACAGTCCTGCACGCTTGCGTTTTATTTAATCATTTCACTGCACCACTTGAGCTGATTGTGTCTGCACTCCAGGAGCAATCCTCAGCGCTTACGGGTTTAAATGATCATGTTTTTAATGGGAAATATGAGGTGACACTTGAGCGTTAGAGAACTGCTCAGCTGGAGCATCACAAACCCCATTCTGCTGATCTCAGTTCAGTGGGACAAACGGCAAACAGACCGACATAGACAGAGAGAGATTAACCGTGTGTGTGTGTTTGTACTTACTGTGTTTCTGTAGGTCTTATTGTGTTGAGATTTCCAGGCCATCCACTGATCATCAGTCAGACGTCTGATCTCAGAACAGACCAGCAACACACACACCAGAACCAGAACAAACCTGATCATACCTACACACACACACACACACACACACACACACACACAC